CAAAGGATATACATTTGAGTTACAGCTTGGTCAAGCCAGAGATTATGGCTTACGAAACTCTCAGATGTATGGGACCTTTGTGAACCTTGCTTCACTGGGAAATGAGAAAAAAAAGAATATCTTTTTTGTTTTGCTGAGTACGTGGCAAAGTCATCACCCTTACAAAGACATGGACTTTAATATATTTTAAGATTCAGAATAATGATTCTGTAAATATGTTTTATTACATTTATTTTTTATGATGCCATGAACCTTTTTTTTTTCATTGTCTACTACAGTACTTTCTTGATTATCCGTACTTTGATTTTTCAGACTTCAATTATCTAGATGCAAAATGAAGAGAAAAATTAAAAGAATTCAAACATTTTTCAATCATCCAAATTAAACCCGTCTTAATATTAGTTTGTTCAGAAAATAATGTTCGATTTCAGAATACACCTTTTAATTGTGTTCTAATATATAACTATAATAGTTGCGCAAAAATATATTACACATTTCTAATGATTAAAATGTCCTCTTTGTTAATTTTATAATAATCTCTTTCCGAATGCTGTTCTCAAATATGTGACACACCGTCTATATACACTGGAAAATAGTATTAGGTTGTTCAGAAAATAATGTCCATTTTTAGAATATACAATTATATTACACATTTCTAATGATTAATGTGTCCTTTTAGTTAATTTTATCGCAATCTCTTTCAGAATGTTGTTCTCAAATATGTGACGCAACCTTCTATATACACTGGAAAATAGTATTAGGTTGTTTGAAAAGTAATGTCCGATTTTAGAATATACGATTATATTACTTATTTCAAATGATTAAAGTGTCCTTTTTGTTAATTTTATAGCAATCTCTTTCAGAATACTGTTCTCAAATATGTGACGCACCATTTATATACACTGGAAAATAGTATTAGGTTGTTCGGAAAATAATGTCCAATTTTGGAATACACCTTTGTGTTCTAATATATCATATATTTCTAATGATTAAATTGTCCTCTTTGTTAATTTTATTTCAGTTTCTTTCAGAATGTTATTTTCAAATAAGTGATGCAGCCTGTGTATAGTATCAGGCTGTTCGGAAAATAATGTCCGATTTCAGAATACACCTTTTAATTGTGTTCTAATATATTACTATAATAGCTGCATAAAAATATATTACACATTTCTAATGATTAAAGTGTCCTCTTTGTAAATTTTATAGCAATCTCTTTCAGAATGCTGTTCTCAAATATGTGACGCAACCTTCTATATACAGTGGAAAATAGTATTAGGTTGTTTGGAAAATAATGTCCGATTTTAGAATACGCCATTTGCATTCTAATATATTACTAATTTCTAATGATTAAAGTGTCCTCTTTGTTTATTTTATAGCAATCTCTTTCAGAATGTTATTCTCAAATAAGTGATGCAGCCTGTGTATAGTATCAGGAAAATTCGGAAAACAAAGTTCAATTTTAGAATACAAATTTTGCGTTCTAATATAATAGTTGCACAAAAATATATGACTCATTCCTAATGAGTAGAGTGTCTGCTTTGTTAATTTTATAACTGTTATATAGGAATAAAATGTTGCTGCCAACACTAGAGTTTGAACACAGATCACTAGAGTTTAAACAAAGGCAATCCTACATGATGGTAAAGAAAATGTATATATGGGAATTAGTGTGGCATCTAAGTGATCACTATACAGATTACTATTCAGATCACCATTTGGTGTTTAAGTTTTGAGCATCATTGAGCAAGTACTATAAGTGCAAGTGTTATTCAAAGGCATCTGACACTGGCATTGTGTAATGGCATTACTATAGTTGTATCTGTGATAACAAAGTATCTACTACGAGCATTACCTAAGTAACAACAAGTGTTCGTTGATATCACAAAAATAACAATCTCTTTCAGAATTTAATTTAAAACCTTTATACATGCTTCATCTTGAACACGAAAAAAGAAGAGATGTGTTTACTTTTGCACGAGTTCAAGTTTAGTCATAATGCTTCTCAAAGTGCTGCCAACATTAACAGAGCAGGGGTTCAGACAGTATGGTATTGGTTTATAAATTTCCACACTGGGGATAAGGGTCTTGAAGATCGAGGCAGTAGAGGAAGTCAATACACAATTGACAACCGACATCTGAAAACGTTAGTCAAACAAAATCCATGTCAAAGAAATGTCTCAGATAATGGGTGCCAGCATTTCAAGAATATCCGACCATCACAAGAAAATTGGCAAGGTGAAGAAACTCGATAAATGGGTTCCACATGAACTTGGCAAAAGTCAGTGTTTTGAAGTGTGTTCGAGACTGCATCTATAAAATTCGAATGATCCATTTCTTGATTGAATAGTGACTTATGATGCAAAATAAATTCTTTACAACAATAGTAAATGATCAGCTGAATAGCTTGATCCTGATTTTCCAAAAACCAAAATTGCACCAACAGAAAATTATGGTGACTCTCTGGTAGTCTGCTATTGGCATTATCCATAACAACTTTCTGGAATCTTAGGCAGAGCATCACTGCTGAAATTTACTGTTAGCAACTGGATTAAATACACAGTCAATTAAGCAAAATGTGACCAGCAACAGTTAATTAATGAATTCACCAATTTAGGATACAAGACTTTGCCACATCCACCATTTTTTACCTGATCTACTGCCATTGATTACTGCTTTTGAAGCATCTTGACAATTTTTTAAGCCAAAAGACATTCTGTTACAAAGAAGGTGTAAAAACTGCATTCAAAGATTTCTTTGTGTCCAAACCTTTAAAGTTTTATCATAAAGACCCAAATAATCTTGTAACGTAGTGGCAGAAATGTATAGATGTTCAGGATTCCTATTTTGACTGATTTAGACATTGTTTAAATACAGGAATGGGAGTTGATTCTTAAAGTGGACATTATTTGCTGAACAACCTAACAGAAGCCCACCCAATGCTAATACGAGACTTTGCTGCATCCACCATAAATCCCTTTATCACACGCTCACAGATGACCATTTTTTCAAGCATTTCAATTTTTTAAGCTGAAAGACATTCCATTGTAAAGAAAGTGTAGAAACTACATTGAAAGTTTTCTTAGTGTCCAAAACCTTTAAAGGCATAAATAACCTTGTAACTCAGTGGCAGAAATATATAGATGTTCAGGATTCCTATTTTGACCATTTGACCTGTTTAAATACAGGGAGAGAGTTCATTCTAAAAGAGGACATTATTTGCTGAACAAGTCTACGGTAGAAATATATAGATGATCAGGGTTCGTATTTTGACCAGTTTAAACACTGTTTAAATACAGTAAGACAGATCATTCTAAAAGAGGACATTATTTGCTGAACAATCTAATAAAATCTCATGATGGAAAGATGGTGCAGAAACTACAAAGTTTTCTTGGTGTCCACCATAATTTCTTTTATCTCATGCTTACAGACGACCACTTTTTCAAACATTTAATTTTTTTAAGCTCAAATATATTCCGTTCAAAAGAAAGTGCAGAAACTACGTTCAAAGTTTTCTTGGTGTCCAAACCTTCAGAGTTTTATCATAAAGGCCTAAATAGACTTCTAATTCAGTGGCAGAAATATATACATGTTCAAGATTCCTATTTTGACTGATTTAAACACTGTTTAAATACAGGAATAGAAACTGATTCTTAAGGCATAAATAGTGTTGTCTGGTAGAAATGTATAGATCTTTAAAGTTCCTATTTTGAAAGATTTAAACACTGTTTAAATACATTAATTCAGAAAGTGTGGATTCTAAGATCGGGCACTATGACATAATTTGAAAATTTAAGAAACGATACTAAATGTTTTATAAAGATCCTGATAAAATCAGTTTTGTAAATTTCTTTTCATTTCATTGTCGTCTTCACCCAAAGAATTATCAGAACTTGGTCCTGCATGATTATCAAATTACACAATAAAACATTGACAGTGACATTCCCTGACTGATGAGACACCATTTTGTGGTTTTACTTTTCAACATGTCTTGTTTTGTTATATTTCGTGATCTTAGGTGTTGAAATGGCCTCAAAGCAAACAAAAATTTCATAAAAAATAAACTGAACAAAAAATTGAACAAAGCATTTAAAAAATGTCATTTGATGATAAAAATGTTAAATTTCTTTCAGAAAATTACTTTTTTTCATTCGTTTTTTATAATTTAGGTATTCAGTTATTTGAAATTTTGAATTATCCAAACATATTTTTGCAACTCATGTTCCAAAGGGTCGGGATAATCAAGGAAGTACTGTAAGTATTACTCCAAAGCATATAATGAATCAAAACCAAGAACAGGTACTATTTAAATATACAGGTCCATTTGTAAAAAATAGAGAAAAATTTTATTTTTTAAAACATTTCTGGCATGGGTTTTTTTTTTGAAAGCACATACACAAACATTTGAGATTCATTACTTATTTATCTTAAATGAAGAATAAATGGATATATAATTTTATTATTTTATTTTTAGAGCATATACCCATTTGTTCTTTATTTAAAAGAAATAGCTTCATAAAAATGTAAATTATTATCTACTGTCTTCTTGATTTGTCTTCTTTTATTGTTCTTGCTCTTTAATAATGTTTCTCTTTTTTCTTATTCTTACACATTCAGTAATCCATTGTGTCTTAGTGGCTTTATTGCCTTGCATCAAGTGAAATGATAAAAAAAAAAAAAAAAAGAAAAATACACACCCGAAAAAGTCTGTTTTCATATGCAAAAAAAGTTAAGTGCAATAACTCTGTAAAAGTCAGGGATCAATTTGACCCTGTTTCAATATTATAAACATAACACCCCCCCTTTTAAATCAATAAAAGAAACAATATTTTTTTTATTCTGTCTAGTATCATGACCTAAGGAAAGTTGAAATAATGTTAATGTAGAAAAATTATCTCCCCCCCATCAAATTTTTCACTATTTTTTACAAGCAGACCACACTACTTTAAGTAGTTCCCCCTGTTTTTATTCCCCTACCACCTCACCCCTTTTACTATATCGCCTTACTTTTCCCCTTCACTGTCACTATTTCCCTGACCTCTGGAATTGTTCTTTATCACATTCTTGGAGGTTAACGCTTCTTTCTTCGAAGACAATGGCATGAGAAGACCATCACGAGAAAGGTTAATCTTTTGGTGTTTATATTCCAACATCATGTGGTTAAGAGGCGACAGACCAATGCATGCTCGGAGAATATTTTCAATACATGCTCTTTGTCGGAAGAGCGAGTTGACCAGGGGTGTGTTCTGAGGTACAAGTGGAGCCTTACACAGGTAACTAAGAATGGACAGAACCGAATTGAATCCTTGATAGCTCTGCTCCACCCCGACTTTGAATTTAATTCGCTGACACAATTCAGCCAAGACCACAAGATCAATCATAAGCGGAGTGGCCAGCAATGAGTCCTCACAGGTGTTATGGATGACCAGGGTATTTTGCCCACCCATCATGATTTCGGATGTGTACTCGTCCATTGCCCTCTTGCTGTCTCCAACATAGGGGACATATTTGATGACGACCAAGTGATCAGGGTGCTCTTTCTCCTTGTAGAGTAAGCGATTGGCTTTCACCATGTCATCAATGACATTGCTTTTAGAAATCTGAAATAGACAAATAAAATAAGTGAAAATCAATTTACCTTTTACCAGTTTGTATCTACCACACACACAGTCCATCAGTCTAGCTATTTATCTATCCACCTTTCTATTCTATACATCTACCTATCCAGCAACAATTCTAGCCCTACATCTACCTACCCAGCCAGTGTTCTGTCCCAGTATCCAACCATCTACATTCACTTATACATATACCCAGCCACCATTCAATCCCTTTATAAGGATACAGAAGGCAATTATCTCCCTTTGGTTGAGATAAGTCATGTGACAGCTGCTTAGTGATGTCACTTCATGAGTGATGAAAGTGGTTAGTCATTCTAGGCCTCCATCTACCTACCCAGCCAATATTCTGTCCCAGTATCCAACCATCTACATCCACTTATATATATATACCAAACCACCATTATCACTTCATTATTCTTTCCTTCTATTTACCCAGCCACCATTCAATCCCTTTATAGGGATACAGGAGGCAATTATTTCCCTTTGGTTGAGATAAGTCACGTGACAGCTGCTTAGTGATGTCACTTCATGAGTGATGAAAGTGGTTAGTCATTCCTTCGGTTTACAATAACCAAACCAAGCGGTTGCTTTATCTAGCCTGAGCCAAGGGGCCAGGGCCGAGGTTAAATATTCCTTCCCCAGTAATCTCTTCATCCAATCTTCTATCCACCCAAACATCATGGTACCATTTCCTTTTGGGAATATATCTTCCCAGATATAGAAAGAAACTCTGGCTTGCAGTCCTCAATTTGGGAAAACTCAAGACTCACCATTTCTAGTTCATGGAAGATGTCCTTGCTTGAGACATAGTAGATGAATCCAGCCTGTTTGAATCTGGAGTCCTATACATTGCTTCTCCAGAAACACAGAAGAATCTCCATATATTATATGTAAGACCCTATTTTTTGCTTTCTTTGATTCTGCTTATTGTGCAGAGATGTGATATATTTTTCCCTGCATAGGACATGTATAAATATGTATATGTGGTTTTGTTTTGATCATGTTGTAATGGTATAAAAGTCTCTCTGAGTATAGAGCATGTTTGTTATTCCTTTTCCTTTCAGTCTTTCCATTCCGTCTGTGAAATATCAGTGTTATTATACTATGGATTTAATAATGTCCATAATGGGGGAAACGCAAAAGGGAGAATAAACCTTTCTTCCAAGCTCTCCCATTATACTGTCACCCATTCTTCCATCTACGCAGCCACTATTCGATCATTCCATTTCTATTTCTAGCCACACAACCACCATTCTATCATTCCATCCATCTACTCAACTAAAGTCTATCCCTGTATGCATCCATCCAGCCACACATTCTCTCTTATATCCTTCCCTCTATCCACTCAGGTACCATTCTATCTATCCATCTTTCCATCTATCTACCCAGTTATTATTCTGTCCCTACATCATTCTATAGATACAGTTCAATCTTCATCCATTCTTCTATCCACCCAACCAGCATTTGATTTCTCCAGTAATCTACCCAGCCACAATTCTATCCATCTACCCAGTAACCACTCCATTCCTACATCGATCCATCTACCTAGCTACCATTCTAACCCCCTAGCCATCCACCTACCCAGTAACCATTCCAACCCCCAGCCATCCATCTACCCAGTAACCATTCCAACCCCCTATCCATCCATCTACCCAACTACCATTCTAACCCCCAGCCACTATTCTAACCTCCAGCCATCCATCTACCCAGTAACCATTCTATCCTTACATCAATCCATCTACCATTCTAACACCCTAGCCATCCATCTACCCAATAACCATTCCATCCCTACATCAATACAACTACCCAGCCACCCTTCTAATCCCCTAGCCATCCATCTACCCAGTAACCATTCCAACTCCCAGCCACCATTCTAACCCCTAGCCATCCATCTACCCAGTAACCATTCCACCCCCAGTCACTATTCTAACCTCCAGCCATCCATCTACCCAGTAACCATTTCATCCTTACATCAATCCATCTACCCAGCTACCATTCTAATCCCTAGCCATCCATCTACCCAGTAACCATTTCATCCTTACATCTACCCAGCTACCATTCTAACCCCCCAGCCATCCATCTGCCCACTAACCATTCCATCCCTCAATCTATAATGACCATCCTATCTATTCCTCCATCCACCATCATTCCTCCATCCACCCACTTTTCTATTCATTGCTCAATCCATCCAGCCACAAGTTCTACCCCTGCTTCCATGCACTCACACATTTGCCTCTTAATTTAATATTTCTTACCTCCTTTGAACGGAATGTCTTTGGGGCTGAGAGATTTTTCCCATCATTGTTACCCAAATGGTTGTAGCTGACCACGGAGACTGGTTTGATTCCAGCACTGACCAGAAAATCTACTAAGACTGATTTAACCTTTGTTTGGCCAGATTTGAAATCATCACCGCCAATAAAAACCTTCTTTTTCTCGGCCAACTCGACAACACCAGGGACAAATGTATTCTGAGGTGAGCCATTGATGTAGGTACACTGTAAAAGAAAAGTCAAATGTCAACATTTAATTAAGTTAATTTTTAAATGAAATTAATTAGGTTAAACACCATTTCATATTCATAAAATTATCAAATTTGCAAACATAAAACTCTCCATTATGAAGTGTGATTTCTTACATATTTTATCAGTTCAGAGGTAGTTGTTTCTCTCTGATGTAATGGAATAACCTGTCACCCCCATGAATGACTACACTATAGGTAGTAGCTACCTATAAGTATCTGTAAGTCAACAGACTACAGAGTCTAGCTGAAATCTTTTCAGCTGTATTGTTGAATTCTCCGCCTTTGGGCAGAGAGGAACCCAGACGAGGCTCAGCTGAAGGGCAGAGTCTTGTTCGGGGAGGCAGACCGACCTGATTCTGCTTATGCACAGTCTACAAGGATTTTTGGGCCGTGCCTACGGGCTCAGAAAACCCATGTTAAACCCGGCTTTGTGCCACATACAACCCTCATGGTGGGGGTGGCTAAATATTCTAGCTGAAATTTTTTTCAGCTTGCTGGTCGAACTCTCTGCCTCTGAGCAGAGATGAACCCGGACTAGGCTCTGCCTCTGAGCAGAGATGAACCCGGACGAGGCTCTGCCTCTGAGCAGAGTCATGATCAGGGAGGTTGACCAACCTAATCCTGTTAATGCGGGTTCGGATAACCCACATTAAACTGGGCCTTGTGCCACATCTACCCTTGTGGGGAAGCTAGTAAATACCGTGCAGCTGAAATCTTTTTGGCTGTGCTGTCAAACTCTCTGCCTTCAAGCAGAGAGGAACAGACAAGGCTATGCCAAAGGGAAGAGTCTTGTCTCGGGCGGTAGAAAGCTACCCGACCCCGTTTTTTACGGGGTCTACAGGGAAATTTTGCCCGAGGCAACGGGCTCAGATACCCCACGTTAAATTTGGCCTTGTGCCACATCTGACTGCATGGGGCGGTTGGCAAATATACTAGCTGAAATTTTTTCAGCTGTATTGTCGAACTCTCTGCCTTTGGGCAGAGTGGAACCCAGACGAGGCTATGCTGAAGGGCAGAGTCTCGTTTGGGGAGGTAGACCGACCTAATCCTGCTTATGCGCGGCCTACAAGTAAGCAAAATAAAGGGTTCAGTTTGACATTCCAACCACCTGAAAAAGGCCAGAGCATACAACAGCCGAAATGTTGTAATAAATATGGCGACAAAGATGAGGACAATAGTCCGAATAATGTAAATAGTGTTAAAATAACAACTATATTATAAAAGAACTAATACTCCAACCATCTTGAACTGCCTGTGTGTGACTTTGTATGTACATATGTAATATATATATGTGCATATTTTGTACATGAGTGACATATATGTATTTGATATATACACAAACACACATAATCTTTTATTTAAATTTCTTGAGGTTTCTTCGATATATTCCTTGTGGCAATTATTACAGGTAATAGAGTAAAATCCTCCTTCATGTTTTAGCTTATTATTATTATTATTATTCACTGGGTGAATCTTATCTTCAAATATAAAATAATGTGTTTTTGGTATATAATCTAGCCAATTTCATTTAGATTCTTTTTCATTTCATCAGCTTTGTTATTAAAAATCCAGCATTGTGATAACAGAAGATCTGTCAAGAATGATGAACCACTAGCAATTAAAGCACTTTCTAAACTTTTTCGTCTTATGAAGTGTTTTCTCCTTTAATTAGAGTAGTATTTTTCAAATCAAAATAGTGGGCAATCTTGTCATGTTATGGTGAGCAACTAATGCATTTAATGTGTTATTTTATAAAAGGTTCTTTTTATGTTCATATAATCTTTTATTTAAATTCTTTGAGGTTTCTCCAATGTATTACTTGTGGCAATTATTACAGGTAATAGAGTAAAATCCTCCTACATGTTTTAGCTTATTATTATTATTCACTGGGTAAATCTTATCTTCAAATATAAGTAACAAATGGGGCATAAAATTAGGGAAAATAAAGGCGAGGGAGAAAGACGACAGTGAATGACCATTTACCATGCTAAAGAAGATGAACAACTCCAAATAACCCTTTGAAAAACCAGAAGACATAAACCCCATGGATTGATACACTTCTGTGGAATATTTTCATTGGTTGATTGCAGAACGGTAGGAACACAAAACCCCAACAAGATGGAAAAACCAATAAAACAAACTTATCTGTAAAATACATAACACACAACCACTGAGATGAGAAGTTTTACTTGATCAACACAAGGTGGGTAGGGGAAAGAGTCTGATGATCACATACTTTTAATGATGCCAAGAATACATCAATCACAATTCACCTCAGAACATTCAATCAATGCATATTACGAATCACACACACACACACACATATATATATATATATATATATATACACACACACAATTTGAATAAATTTGAAACAAGATATTAGAGTAATGCAATCCAATTCTGCAACTAAGTCTGAACAACACCTATCCAGTGTTCAGTAATAAAATCAAAGTTGAGACAAAAAAAAAAAAAAAAAAAATAATTTTTTTAACCGTAAAAACATCAGATAATTATAAGGTTTTATTAAACTTTTCAAATATTGTTTGGTAATAAACAGAATTATTAAAGAATTGTTTAAAAATTTTGTAAACATTTTTTTAGAACAGTTATTTTATATATATATATATATATATATATATATATATATATATATATATATATATATATATATATATATATACACACACACACACACACACATAGGGTGGGCAAAAGTAACTATACAGTTACTTAAAACAAAAGCACTGGAGCAGGTGGCTTCCAGTTGAAACAGTATTGGTAATTAATTTACTATTGTTTACCATACCAATTTATTGTTATTAAGCAGAACCATTTTAATAAGAAATTTCTGGATTTTTAATTGCTTTGTCTTAATTGTTACTGGAAGTAACTCTATAAAGACCTTATTGCCACCATATATATATATATATATATATATATATATATATATATATATATAATATATGTAAGCCTACCTAGGTTTCACCTACGTGAATCATCAGGGTAAACTGGTTTAGTTTGCTCTACTTAGCGTATTGAGCACTTTGCTTAGTTATTTTTACTTTACTCGTGTTGGAGGTTTTTTCTTTGAACATTCATTCTAGACGATTATTTTCGCTGGAAGTACATGTTCTTAGTTCTTTTTTTTTACTCTTAGATATTGGTTTGTTCAGTTACTAGCTAAAACACCTAAGGTTTTGCCAGACGAGTATAGCTGCTTATATTTATAAGATTATTAGTATTATATATATCTCCCGTAATTTTCAAATGCCTGATGAGATGCATTGATACACATCGAAACAAGATTTCAATTGTGTAGTGATTTTGACATGTTTTTGATGTAATATCCTAAAAGGAAATATTATACATACATATATATATATATATATATACATATATATACACACATACATACACACACACACACACAACACATGTGTATGTGGGCATGCAGACAATTTTCATCTTGGGTATGATGATAAACTACATCTGGCAACAAGGTCTCTGATCAGGTGATTGGATGTTTCGAGGAGCGTGGAAGCACCTCTTCACTGCTATTATTCTCAGGTCCATCAGACACTTAGACAGTTTCAGTTAATTCTTTAAGGTCTTCATTAGCAATAGTCTTCTTATCAGCATACAATAAACCTTGAGCATCCCTGGCATTGATATCTGCAAATCCCATTTCTTGACTTGTTTATATAAGACTAGAAGTGACCATTTCTTCTCCTATGTTTTTTGAACCCCATTAAAATATTTATGTTTAATTTCCCTATTAAACTCTACTCAAATATATGTTTAATTCCCCTATTAAAATATCCACTTTTCTCTATTAAAAAATATCTGTGCTTTATTTCTGTTGTAGAGTAGTTTTCACAGTGAGGCTTGTATTTCGCTAAGTCGGTCCTAAAAGGGTCCAATGTACAAAACGTTAAGAACTTGAAATAATAGTTAATGACGCAGCAATCTAGTTGTGGTTGTTGATACTTCAATGTCCGACATCGACTGACTCACTCAGCTCACTGAGCTCAACTGGCGACTGCTACTACTACTACTACTACTTATTATGTGTGGGAGAGTCTATTACAATAGAATAGGTAATGTTTCAGTATAACAATTTCCCTATTAAATTACATGATAATTTCCCTCCATTAAAATGTCTATTTTTAATTTCTTTATAACCCCATTTAAAATATCTATTTAATTTTCCCTATTAAAATATCTGTTTAATTTCTTCATTGTAAATTTTCATAAACACTATTAAAAATATCTGTTAATTTCCCTATTAAGATATGTTTAATTTCTTTATCATAATTATTTATAAACCCTATTAAAATATCTATATAAAATTTCTTCATACACCATTTCAAAAGATCCGTTTAATTTCCCTATTAAAATATCTATGGTTAATTTCTCTATTAACCCCTATTAAAATATCTGTTCAAGTTCTTCATAAACTCTATTAAAATATCTGTTTAATTTCTCTATGAAAATACTGATGTTTACTTTCCTATTAAAATATTTTTATGAGTTAATATTTATTATTAAGTTGCCATCGTACCAAACATTGTTATAAAGAGGTTTTGTTCATGAAAGGCACATGAAATGAGGTTTGTGCCAATTACTGGCTGACTTTCTCAAGAAATAAACAAATAAAAAGAGTTAATCCATTTATATTTACAAAGAATTAAAAATCATTCCTCATGCATATTCATAAGAAGGAAGCTAATTTGCCAATATTAAGTTGAAAGAAATTTCATTTATTACGTTTATTTTATAATTTTTTATCAATTTTATATGAAGATATTATAATTTTTCATTGTAATTTTTTTTAATTCAATTTCAAGATATAACTTTATAATTTTATTCAGTTTTATAGCAAGATATATTTTTTGTATTTTTTTTATTAAATTAAATTTTAATATATATAATATTTTTTATTCAATTTCCTTTTGAATATATATTATATTCTTTATTAAATTTCATTTCAATCTATACATTTTATTAAAATTTTTAGGATATAACTTTTATCATGTTTAATTTTATATCAAGATATTTCATTACTACAATTTTTATCTAATTTAATTCAAGATATAATTTTCATAATTTTTTTTTATTCAATTTCATTTATATATATATATATATATATATTAAAAAAGAGAGGTGCCATAAACGTTTTTTGGTTGTAATGTGGATTTATTTAAAAAATATTATGCTTTGTTTTATAATTTTACTACAACACGTGTTTCTGGTCTCGCTGACCGTCTTCAGGTAAAAGTGGAAATTTCTACATATTATTAAAAATAATTAATTTTTCTTCATGTTCAATGTGAAATGTTTTCGATATGAGACATTCTCTGTTTGTGTGTTGGCAATCCGAATTTTCTTTCTAGAATTGTCAATGAAGAGTTCTGCGCTAGAAGGGTCATAAAACAATTAAGGTTTGTCCAGCTTAGTAGTTATCGGCATTTAATCTTTTAATGTTTTAGTGACCCCTATGTGCTCTTGGATCTGTTTCTATTTTGGTGTGTTCCTGTCAGCATGCGTGTATATATGCGTGCGATATTCCCCTCCATACATATTGTCTTACTACGAGAAATTACAAAACTTATTTGTACCTATACACGCATACACACACATATGCACATACACACTATCCCACCACAAGTAATCAGTACACACACACACATATACACACATATTTCCCAAGCTACATGGAACCAGTACACACACACACACACACACACACACACACACACACACTTCACACAGTTGTCAACATCCATATACATACATAAATGTATGTATGTGTACATACACATATATATGTCTCCTCGTGTCTCCGTATATGAGTGTGCGTCCATGTATGTGAGCGATTTGATCATTGTATTGGGGTCACTAAAATAGGTTGTTCTGTGTCTGCGAATTGTTCATTTTCTGTGTCTGCGAATTGTTCATTTTCTCTCTGCGTTTACCGACATCCGGAATTGGAGAATTCCCCTAGCTAAGTATCAAACTCTGTTTCATCTTAAAGCAAAGAAGATGAAACAGAGCTTGATATTTTAATTCAATTTAATTCTAATAATTATATTGAAGTTTTCAGCTCCTATCCGAAAAGTTAAGACATAGGGAGAACGGACGAAATTAATCAACACCTTGTTTGCCTTACCTGCTCATCTCTGAGTTTATCCCTTTTTTTCTCAAAATAAAGGATTTCAATTCAAAATTATCTCTAGGTTTCTGATTGGTTCACAGGACTCATTTAACCATCCCTTTTTCTTCACCTTCATTTAGGGAGGATGACCTTTTGGCCTATTTTATTTATTTATTTTTTTATCTTTTTGTTTTTATTTCTTTATGGCAAACCAAAATGGTTTGCAAATTTTTCTATACTTGTGGGGAGAAATAGTGAACTTTTTATTTATCTATCACTACAGCGTCTCCTAGCATCCTCACCAGAGGGACATTCAAAAACTACATACCCTCCACAGTCAACATTAATTTGACGAAAATAAGAAATGAATAAACAATTACAGGTATACCTCAGGTTACGTCATTTTGAGTTAAGTCATTCTCAATTATACGTCATTTGTCAAAAAAATATATAGAAAAATAAAAATCAAGTTTAAATCATTTTATTATAATAAATTTTTTTATCATAAATTCTAGAGAACGAAATATGAAAACATCTGTGTCTGTGTTGTCCTCTTTAAGAGCTCAATATTGACATTTTCAACAGTAGTTCTAATATCTACCATTTGGCGTTGTAAGCACCACTCGTGACTCCCATAAAATTGGAATCCAGTTTAGTTTAGGCATACGCACAGTATACCCAGATGAGAAAGATGTAGAGTTTAAAGCAAATCAAAGCTGGTTTATGAGATTTAAAGAATGAAGAAGTTATCACTCTATTAAGAAGCAAGATGAAATTGCATCAGCTGACAAACAAGCAGCAGCTGATTTTCCTAAAGCATTGGCTAAGATCATTGAAGAAAACGGGTTTCTTCCTGAACAGATTTTTAATGTTGACGAAAGCTAATTATATTGGAAAAAATTGCCAGTCTGTACTCTCATTGCTAATGCTAAGCGCAAGGCCATATCTCTGGTAAATTATTTTATTCAGAATACTGTACGTACATATAAATACTGTAATATGCAATGGGAGTGCTTATTTGCAGCTTATAGTGTGGTTATTTCAACTTAAGTTGTTTTTCAATCTAAGTTGTGACCTCTGGAACCAATTATTGATGTAGGGTGAGGTATACCTGTATTTTATGTGTGAAAATTTTAGGCTTCGAATCAGACGTTATGAAGATAACGTTAAATAAAATAAACTTACCCCCTCGAGAATGCTGGCAATAGCAAACAATGTAGATGGTGAGATCTCAGATTCGTTATTTCGAATGCTGTTGAGTAAATTGTCTGCTGTGTCATTGAGTCCAGCTTGGACATCAGAAAACCGTTCTGTGTTAGCTGTCCACAAGACAATGATCTTGTCCACACCACTTGATTCCTTAAAGTCATGAATGTCTCGTCTTATTTGTTCCATCATCATCTGTTTGGTGCCAGTAAGGACATTATCTGCTCGTTCCTCCTGGTTTGCTGCAATGAAGTCCGGGATATAGATAGACGGCCGAGGCCTGATGCCGACCAGGTAGGGCCTGATCTGTACTTGCAGGTTGTAATCAAGTACCTGAGCTCGTTGCATTGCATCAGCCATGTTTGTTGAAGAAATATCCCAACCTGAAATTGTAAAGATTACTTTCATAGGCAAGTACACAGAAATCCATTTTTGATTTTCATACAGTTAAGTTAAGCAAATATCAAGCCTAGTTACTAACTAAATGGGTGACCACTTGGGAATGCCAATTGCTGTAAGCTTGGATGTGTATGTAGTATAAAAGGCTTTCAGCCATATCATCTTGAAACACCCATTCTCAAACAATCACTGAAGTTAAGCAACATGAAGCCTGGTCAGTATCCAGACAGGTGACAGCTTGTGAATACCAGGTGCTGTAAGCTTGAATGTGTGGGTGGTATAAAGGGCTTTCAGCCATATCAATTTGAAACACCCATTCTTGAATAATCACTGAAGTTAAGCAATATTGAACCTGGTCAGTAACTAGATGGTGACTGCTTAGAAATCCCAGCTATTGTAAGCTCAGATTTACAGGTGATATAAAGTGCTTACATTGTCAGCCATGTTTGATGAAGAAATATCCCAACCTGAAATTGTAATTACTTTCATAGGCAAGTACAGAGAAATCCATTTTTGATTTTCATACAGTTAAGTTTGGTTTGGTTTGTTTTATGACATATCAACCTCAATGAGTTATTTATTTAATGCTGACAAGATTTTTAATGCTGGTAATATATTTTTTTTCCAAAATGTATTGCTGGTAATAATTTTGTACAAAGTATTCCTAATATTAAAACCTATTTTTACTCTTTCATAGTGTTTTGACTCCAGTTTGGGGGTTAACTATTTAGCCATAGCTAAAACCCCAACAGGTGCTACCACCATGGGTCAGGGTTGACCTGAGAACACCAGCAATTAAGAGGTGGTTCCACACTTCGCAAAACCTCCTGATCAGAGGCCTTGCTGTTGGATGTAGTTTATTGTCTTACCCAGGACGGGAAAGAGTTAAGTTAAGCAAACATCAAGCCTAGTTAGTAACTAGATGGGTAACTGCTTAGGAATCCCAATTGCTGTAAGCTTGAATGTGTAGGTGGTATAAAAGACTTTCAGCCATATCATCTTGAAATACCCATTCTCAAAGAATCACTGAAGTTAAGCAACATGAAGCCTGGTCAGTATCCAGATAGGTGACAGTTTGTGAATACCAGATGTTGTAAGCTTGGATTTGCGGGTGACACACATTGACTTACATTGTTATCATGTTAAAAAATTGGTTCTCATACAGTCACCAAAGTTAAGCAATGTTGAGCCTGGTCAGTACCTAAATGGTGACTGCTTAGAAATCCGAGGTGCTGTAAGCTTGGATTTGCGGGTGGTACAAAGGGCTTACAGCCATTATCATCTTGAAACACCCATGCTCAAACAATCTCTGAAGTTAAGCAACATAAAGCCTGGTCAGTATCCAGATAGGTGACAGCTTGGGAATACCAGGTGTTGTAAGCTTGAATGTGCAAATAGTATAAATAGCTTGCAGCTATATGATGTTGAAACATTGGTTCTCATACGATCACCAAAGTTAAGCAATATCAAGCCTGGTCAGTACCTAGATGGTGACACCTTGTGAATACCAGGTGCTGTAAGCTTAGATTTGCAGATGATGTAAACAGTTTACAGCCATATCACATAAAAACACAAGTTGTCATATGATCACCAAAGTTAAGCAACATCAAGCCTGGTCAGTACCTAGATGGGCAGCTGCTTGGGATTACCAGGTGCTCTAATCTTGGATGTGCAAGTAGTATAATCGATCACAGCTCGGAATTGGAAATCGAAGAGCAAAGTTCAAATTCCAATCAGGTTCATTATATTTACTTATGGGTAAATACCCTTGCGAAAGCCGTAAAGTCTTGGTTCTTGAATTTGGTGTCATAGTAATTATGAGTTCAATCTCTGGGCACGACAGTGGGTACTTGAAGTCAGTGGAAATAGGGCAAGCAATAACTGAGCAGTACTAAAAATAAGAACTAGACAAGATATCCCTGAACATGATCAGTGGAACAAAACAGTCTACCCCTGTAAATTAAAGAAAGGCTTCAGTTTGGAATTCATTGTATGAAGACAGAGACACAATTGAGAGATGAAACATAGTTTATCCGCTTAAGGACAAATACTACACTTTGATCCCAGCACAATGGATGAAGAGGTGAAGAAAAGCATCATTCTGTTTAGTCAATGAATGCTAAATGTTTCCTTATGCGGAAACAGCTAATATTACAATTTACACCATTTACATTTATTGTCCTGTTCATGTAGTAAATAGTTACAGTACCCCATCTCAGAAATATAAAGAGATCCTGAAAAAGGCCAGAGCGTACAATGCCCGAAATGTTGGCAATAGTGCAATAAAGATGAGGATAACAGTTCGAACAATGTAGATAGTGTTAATAATTAAAATACTCCTCTCAGAAATATTTCCAGTTGCGCTTTGTCCATAGACAGAGACATAACTGAGAGATGAAATGTAGTTTATCCGCCCGAGGGCAGATACTACACTTTGATCCCAGCTTGATGGCGTGGAAATAAAGAAAAGCATAACTTGAGGCGCACACAATATCCCTAGACATGTGCAGTGGAACAAAACAGTCTACCCCTATAGATTAAATAACCGGTTCAGTTTGGAATTCATTGCATGAAGAGAGAGACACAACTGAGAGATGAAACATGGTTTACCTGCCTGGGGGCCGATACTACACTTTGATCTCAGGCCAATGGATGAAGAAGTGAAGAAAAGCGCCACTCTGTTTAGTCAATGAATGCTAAATGTTTCCTTATGCGGAAACAGCTAATATTACAATTTATACCATTTACATTTATTGTCCTGTTCATGTAGTAAATAGTTACAGTACCTCATCTCAGAAATATTAAGAGATACTGAAGAAGGCCAGAGCATACAATGCCCGAAATGTTGGCAATAGAGCAATAAAGATGAAGACAACAGTCCGAACAATGTAAATACTGTAAATAGTTACAATACCTCTCTCAGTCCCTGAAGAATGCTGGAGTGTACAATGACTGAAACGTCGGGAATAGGACAATAAAGATGAGGATAACAGTCCGAACAATGTAGACAGTGTAAATAATTAAAATACTCCTCTCAGAAATAATATTTCCAGTTGCACTCTATCCAAAGACAGAAACATAACTGAGAGATGAAATGTAGTTTATCCACCCGAGGGCAGATACTACACTTTGATCCCAGCCCGATGGACAGAGAGTGAAGAAAAGCGTCACTCTCTGGTCAATGAATGCTGAATGTTTCCTTATACGGAAACAGCTAATATTATCATTAGAAATGAGGGGAACTTTTTACACCATTTACATATATTGTCCTGTTCACGTAGTAAAGAGTTACAGAACCTCATCTCAGAAATATAAAGACATCCTGAAAAAGGCCAGAGAGTAAAATAGCCGAAACGTCAGTACTAGAGCAATAAAGATGAGGACAAAAGTCCGAACAATGTAAATACTGTAAATGGTTTCAATACCTCTCTCAGAAATATAGCCAGATCCTGAAGAATACCGGAAGATACAAGGGTCGAAACATCGGGAATAGGGAAATAAAGATGAGGACAACAGTCCAAACAATGTAAATAGTGTAAATGGTTACAATATCTCTCTCAGAAATATAGCTAGCTCCTGAAGAAAGCTGAAGCGTACAATGGCCGAAAATCGGGATTAGGACAATAAAGATGAGGACAAAAGTCCGAACAATATAAATAGTGTAAATAGTTACAATACCCCTCTCAGAAATAACATTTCCAGTTGTGCTCTGTCCAAAGACAGAGACACAAGTGAAAGATGGAATGTAGTTTATCTGCCCTTGGGCAGATACTACACTTTGATCCAGCTTGATGGCCTGGAAATGAAGAAAAGCATAACTTGAGTTGATGTTTAGACAGTGAATACCAAATGTTTCCTTATAAGGAAACGGCTAATATTATCATTAAAAAACTACCATAAATTTAGCCCTTACTTTTTTCTTAAGTTTACTTACCATCAATAATTAAGTCATTTGGATGTACCATGGGTAGCAGCTTCTGTAGGGGAACAAAGACCTCCTCACCACAGTCTGTACTGCCAAGAGACACAGTACTGGACTGGGTGATGGATCCGTAATAGTTGGCCTCCTGCACCCCAGTCTTGGTGTGCCATTGCATACCATGTTTATTGGCAATAATTGAGGCAATCAGGGTAGACCCATTGTTTCCACCCATCCCAACTAACATCAAACCAACCCGGGGTACCTTGGTCTGCGTTTGAAACGTATATTCAGTGGATACCTAGAAAAAGAAAAAAACAATTATCATTATCTATATTCTTGATAATATATATATATATATATATATATATATATATATATATATATGAGACAAAGTAGAAGATTTTTTGTCAAAGACACATTTTGCTGGAGAAAATCTATATTCTCTTTGGCTTCTTCAGTTTAAATGATGGTAAGACAAAGCTGTGTGTGAGGAAAACGTCTTGAGATCTGAGGATAAGTGGCTATTATAAATCAAATTAATTACCCTAGCTTATCACCTCCTGATTTCAGACTTGGAGCAGGAGGTGATAAGCTAGGCTAATTAATTCAATTTAGAATACCCACCCATCCTCAGAGATCCCAAGACATTTTCCTCAAACACAGCTTTGGCTTTTCTTCATTCATTGAATGAAGAAAAGGTAAAGAGAGCATAGTAGCATATGCAAATTAGAGAGACAAGTATAAATAGAGAACAATTGGCGAACATAGAGAACAGCTATACCTAGCAAACCCGGTTGCTATTCAGGACACAGAAAACTGTACTATGACTGCTACTACACAGAGAGATATGCAAAATATAACAAAGAGCATACATTTTCTCCAGCAAAACGCGTCTTTTATAAAAAAAATCTTCCACTTTGCCTCATCTTCACTTTTGTTTCAGATAATATTATACATCGTACAAACACCCACTTTATATATATATATATATATATATATATATATAATTATTTAAAATATTATAATAGGAGGCCAAAACTAAATAAAAAGTAGGAGGCCTGAGAAAGGCATAAACACCAAAAAAGTGATCAATGCAAGCTATAAAATAGAAGATATAAAATGCAGAGCAAGATGCTTTGGAAAAAAATCTCTTACAACCATGCTACCCGGGTTTCAATCACTAGATCTCCTCAGGCAGGTCGAAACAAACTGTAGTACAGTGAACTCCACAATAAACTTATAGAACACCAGAAGATGGATGGTACTGGTGAGAGTGGGACTTAGAAGGGGGAGTTTTTTTTTTGTGACCCTCCCACTTCTTAGTCCCACTCTCACCAATACCTCTTGGTGTTCTGACCCTCCCCTCTAAGTCCCCTCCCACCTTCCAGTATTCTATAAGTTTGCCATGGAATTCACTGTACTACAGCCTGAGGAGATGTAGCGATCAAAACCCAGGTAGCGTGGTTGTGAGAGTTTTTCCAAGGTATATATATATATATATATATATATATATATATATATATATATATATATATATATATAAAGAGGTAATCATACAAAGAATCAAGTAGTAATATTAATGTAATTAATATCTTTAATGATATTTGCCTTAAAGAAGATTTGCTGCCTAAATACACTGAATATATACAGTGACATGCATAAGTATTGGATACATGTTATTTTCTGTTATAACTCTAGTTTATGTTCACCATTTTGCCTGATATTTGGTAAGTAATATCTCATAAAGTTGTTTTAGTTTTATGTGGAAGGAAAATTAAAAACTCATGGTTGAATCCATTTTTTTTATCAAAGTTCAAAAATTACCCTATGCAAAAGCATTGGATACATGACACTTTTTTCAAATTTCCAATCGAAACTTTGTATTTTAAAAAACTTTAAATATAAAATTTTCGATAGTATTGGAATGTTATCTCTGACCAATCAGAGAAGCAGATGAAACAGACTGTCGCCTCTAAGTGTTGACTTCTATGTTCACTTTTATATATATATATATATATATATATATATAGATACACCTAGTGAGCCAGACTAACCTACCTAGGTTTCACCTAAACGAATCGTCAGGGAAAGGTTGGCCAATAATTGAGGCAATCGGGGCAACCTTTCCCTGACGATCCGTTTAGGTGAAACCTAGGTAGGTTTGTCTGGCTCACTAAGTGTATCTCGGTCTGCTCTACGGGTTGTATTGAGCTCTTTTGTTAGTTAGTTGTTACTCGTATCAGGGTTTTTTTTCTTTGGGCTTCAGACCTGCATCTGTGCGATTTTTTTGTCGGCAGAAGTTTATGTTTGTAGCTCTTTCTTTTTTTAAAACTTTTTTTTCCTCGAAATTGATTTGATTAACAAATCAAAAATTCGGGGTTTTTCAAACGAGTCTAGTTATTTATATATATATATATATATATATATATATATATATATATATATATATTGGGCAGCATATATTTTATATTATAAAGAGGTAATCATACAATGAATCATTTAGTAATATTAATGTAATTAATGGCAAATTCTCTTTGCTAACAGACTTAATAAAGCATTAACTTACGAACAATCTATTGAATGACATGATCCTTATATATAAAATTGTTGTCAGATGGATATAAACATTGTATTATTTGAACTCTAGTGTTATGACTTCCACGTTCCAAACTTATATAACCATTAATAAATAACACATTCTTAAAAAACACCTTTCGGTCTACAATACATTTATTTCGTCTAGGAGTTTTATTTCGAAATGGAACAAATTACAGCCTGATGATGAGAACATGAAGTTTTCGAAAGTACTTGCTGCTCTAAAAATACACCAGATCCATCTGATAATTTTATACATAAGGATCATGTCATTCAATGAATTGTTAGTAAGATAATGCTTTATTAAGTTTGTTAGCAGAATTCACCATTAATTACATTAATATTACTGATTCATTGTATTACCTCTTTATAATATAAAACATATGCTGTCCAGTATATATAATTTTTACTGTATTTAGGCAGCAAATGTTCTTTAAGGCAAATATCATTAAAGATAACAGGCACTTTGTGTCACTTAATTTTACTGAGTGACTTTTCTAAATTATGACTACTCCCTTTGAGACAAAGAGCAAATTTCATTGGAAATTGTCCAAAGTTTTGACTTTCTTATGCATCTACAGCGATGACACCTTAAGAAAGTTGAAAGCTTAGACCAAATTTCTTCCGAAACAAACTTCAGACAATTTCTGATAAAATTTCTTTCTTGTCTGCGAAGGATTATTCGTAATTTGGCAAAGTCGATCAGTAAAATTAATTGACACTGGATGTTTGCGGTCTTGAAGGATATTTGCGTAAAACAAAAGTCAAATTGAATATTACCCGTTTCCTTATAAGGAAACAATTGAAAGTGAAAGAGGGGGAAAAAAAAAAAGAAAAAAAAAAAAAAAAGAGAAAAGGTTAAGGAGTGAGTGTAAAGTGAGAAAAAAAAGAAAAGAAAGTACATTCTACACATACATGCACATACTATAAAAAAGCCCAAAACTTGCACTAATGAAAAGTGCATATAAAAATAAAATTTGAGACGTATAAGCAGTCAATAATTGCTGATACGACCTGACGATTGGATGAACTGATTCCCAAAGGGTCAGTCTATGAAACTCTGGAGTTGGGATGCTGAAGCTAACATCATTCAGCTAAGTGACAAATCTTTTACTATATATATATATATATATATATATATATATATATATATATATATATATGTGTGTGTGTGTGTGTGTGAGCATACATGTATGTATGCAAAAGGTGTCCATAAAAGTCTTTTTTACAATTTAAAAAAATATATTACAATGTCATTTGATGTGGCACCACAACTAGATGACCTTCAACCAACCACCATTTTCCAGCAAGATGGGGAACTATCACAATGGGGACTGCATGTTCATGGGTTCCTAAATCAAATATTTCCAGACCGGTGGATTGGAAGGGATGGGCCAATTCCCTGGCCACCTCGTTCAACAGATGCCTCTCCTCTGGATTTCTTTCTATGGGGTTATGTTAAAGTTATCATGTATCGAAAAAAAAATATGGGACATCACTGATCTAAAGCAAACGATTGCTAATTCCGTTGCCACCAATGATGAGGCTATATTACAGCGAACATGGTAAGAAATCAAGTACCTTCTTGATATGCTTCATGCAACTAATGGCGCCCATATGGAGGTTTATTAAATCAGTTAAAAGAAACTTCAGTATCTACTTCTCATTTTGTAACAATTTCCACATATTTGTCTATTCATTTGCTTTTGTAATATTTTTTTAAATTGTAAAGAGACTTTATGGACAGTCTGTATATCTTCAACATGATTTAGAGAATAAATAGTCGACCGAAATATAGAATGTTTCATTAAAAACAATACAGCACATTGCCTTTTACAATTTAAAAAATATATTACAAAGACAATAGATGACGTTCAACCAACCATCATTTTCCAGCAAGATGGGGTACCAGAACATTTCGGACTGCATTTTCGTGGGTTCCTAAATCAAATATTTCCAGTTCGGTGGTTAAAGAAGGGGTTGACTCAATTCCCTGGCCACGTCGTTCACCAGATATCTCTCCCCTGGACTTCTTTCTATGGGGTTATATTAAAGATATCGTTTGTTGGACAAAGATACGGGATGACACTGATCTAAAGCAAAAGATCACTGATGCCATTGCCACCGTTGATCAGGCTATGATACAGTGAACATAGCAAACATTCAAGTACCTTCTTGATGTGCTTTTTACAAGTAATGGCGCCCATATAGAGGTTTATTAAATTAGTTAAAAGAAACTTCAGTATCTACTCCTCATTTTTTAACAATTTCCACATATTTGTCTCTTGATTTGCTTTTGTAATAAATTTTTTAAATTATAAAAACACTTTATGGACAACCTGCGTTTGTATGTATGTATGTATGTATATGTATGCATGCATGTATGTATGTATGTATATGTATGCATGCATGTATGTATGTATATATATGTATGCATGTATGTATGTATGTATATATATGTATGTATATGTATGTATGTATGTATATGTATGTATGTTATCAGAATGATATCAAGATCTATCTCAGCGTGCAGCAGCTTTGGAAAACCACACCACGGGTTGACCCAAGCCTTGTCAATGAAA